CATCAGCGGGGGAAAAACTTCCTTCTCCATAGCCGAGCAGAAGGTTTGAATGGCTTCAGCAGCCCTCTTTTCATACTCTTTGCTCTGCTGCTGCTTCTCTTTAGCAACCTGCTGCTTTAGCTCAGCAAGCTTCGCCTCCTCCCGGGCAATTTTTGCCTCCTCCCAGGCATGCTCCAACTTGTCTTGGAGGGTGTCAATCAACTCTACAGTAAGAGTCTGATTGTGCACAACCTGTTTGCAGGGGCACATCAGTTGAAATAAATAAAGTAATAAAAAAGGGAAAGAGCCAGAAAGGAGGAAAAGAGTTGAGTGAAAGCAAAGAAACTAAAAGGTTAAGTACCTGCATCAGCAAACGCTGGTTGTCTCTTGCAGGGTCAGGGACCCTTCGGCTGGATTCTCCCATCCCAGCCGTGACCTTCAACGACCACACCCTTGCTCGGTCCACTTCGGACATGCTAGTCAAGTCGTCGAAGTAGCCTGCAGCCCCTTCACGGTTCTGGCCCCAAATTCGTTCCCAAACAGGTTCTGGGACTGTGATACGGGGGGCCGAGAAACCCAAATCTCCAGAGTTCAGCATCTGGAATAAGGGGAAGGAGGAAGAGGGAACCTCCTGAATCTTCTCAGGCTCAGCATGACCTTCTCCTTCGGCGGAGCCCAATTGGTCTCCACCAGGGTCAGCAGCAACGACCTTCTCTGCTTCCTCCCCCAGATCAAGTTGACGAAGAAAAGCGTCAACCTCCCTATCAATATCATCTGAGAAGCCTTCAGCAATCGGCTTCTCATATTCTTCAGCAGGGTGTCCCTGAACCCCCCCTTCGGATTAGGAGTTCTTTGGTCCACCTCCATCTCTTGAGTTTCGGGAGGTGGAGGGGGGGTTTGAGGACGCGGAGCTTCCGGCGGAGGGGGAGCCCTCGGCGAGCGTCTACCTTCATCAGGCTCTCGTATGAGGATGCCCCCGGTAGGCCTCATCCCCATCTGAAACTGCCGAGGCCCCAGCACGGCCAACCTCCTCCTTCTCTTTGCTAAGGGCTGCTCGTCCATTTCTTCAGATTCTGACGAAGATGGATCTTCAGAACGAGCAGGCGCCTTTCCTTCTCTTCTTCCGCTCCCTTCCTCAGACTGCAGAAAGGGGGGGGGCAGCAAAGTATGAGTAAAAAAAAAAAAAAAAAACCAAGCAAGTCAGGAACTTACTGGAACCCTCGGCTGAACTCCAGGTGCAGGGATATCCCCCTCAGCAGCACCAGACGTCCCAACACCTCCTTCCAAGGAGTTGATTACTCGGGACACGTCAGCTGCTGTCTGAGCAGCCTGTGCTTCCTCAGGTAATAAAGGCCGAAGGGGATCTCGCTTCTCCCACTAAGGCTTCTGTTTGGTGTATTCGGCAGCGGCTTCAATTTGAAGACCCGTTTCGTGCAGATGCAGCGGATGGTTCTTCGGAGCTGTGATTGCCGGAGCCCGGTCTAGAATGACCCTTTCAGCGTTCACCCCGAGCCGGTTATAATCAATTCCCGAGGTAGCTTCGCTCAGCTCTGAAAAGAACAGACGAAGGTTAGACTAAGGGAATAAGCATCAAAGACAAATCAAAATTGACTAAGTTAAAGTCCTCGGCCCCAGCCGAACATACTTACCACCCCTGTACTTTCGGCTGAGGCCGACAACTGCCAACATCTTCTCTTGGAAAGTGTAATGGTTATCCGGAAGCCATCTGGCCGGGAGAGTTCTCATTCGGCCAACTCCCCCAGGGTTATTCTGCTTCCCGAAGAAGCTCATTTGCTCATAACTCGGGTGGCTAGTGGCATCAGGGTCCTCAGGACCCAAGTCTTGCATGTTCGGATCAGGCCTGGAGAGGTATCGTGGAGCCCCGAAAAAATATGGATGCTCCGGATCAGCGGGAACTCTAACCCAGACCCATTGACCCCTCCAATCCTTATCCGAGGAGTCGTTCGTCCACATAGTCAGATATTGGGGGCGGCTCTCTATTCGCCACCAGCCTGAAGACCCGTGTTGGCCGTACACGCTCTGGAGGTTCTACACTAGCTGATGCATCTTTCGGAAGCAGTGCAAATTCGGTTCAACAGCAAAAAACCGACACACCCAGAGATAAGTCATCACCCGTCGAATGCTAACGGGTGTTAATTGGCACAGGGAGATCCTGTACTTTATTAAAATGTCCTTGACGAAGGGATCCAAAGGAAACCGAAGCCCGTATTGCAATTTCCGAGTGTACACCCCTACATACCCAGGAGGGGGACGGTGAATCCTGTCAGTCGGCGAGGGCATTCGGCACCAATGCCTATCCTCTTCAAAAATTCCGTAGTGCAACTCAATTTGCTCGGCGAATCGGTAGGTTTCGGCATGCCGAACCCACCATGAGTATGGGGTATTTCTCACCATGGCGTCCTGGGCCTCGGCGTCCTGCCATTCCGCATGCCCAGGAAGCAGGTCCTAGAGTACAGGGGGAAAATCTTCAGCCTGCCCAGCCTGTTCTCTCTACTCAGGTTGCTCCGCCTCGCCGGCCTCGACGTCCTGCTGAGGCGGCGCGGCGTTTAAAGGAACTGCCGGAATCCCCCTTTCCGGGTCTTCACCGGCTTGTTCCCCGTTCCAAATGTCGGCGCGGTCACGGGGATCCCTAGCCTGACCCCGTCGACCCGGCTGACGCCTCCTTTCTCGAGCCATAATCAAATTCAGAGAAGGAAAGAAAGGAGGAGAAGAATTTCCCTAAAAAAGGGCAAGAAAATCGAAAAAGCTCGGAGAAAATTACCTTCAAATTGGCCGGAATACGCCGGTCAAATCAGTGGAAGCGATGGATTTGAGTCTCGAACTTGGATTCGAAAATGGTACGCTGGAAATTCAAAGCGAAAATGGGTTTGCGCGAGAATTTGAGTGTAAGTTGGTGAAGAAATGAAGTTGAAATGCGAATCAGACCTTATAATTCCAGGAAGGAGAATCCCAAAGGTCGAAAAGTTCAAATTTCTCGTAAATGCCTCCTTAATTAACCGTTAAACACTCTTTCTCTTGATTAACCGCCCACTATCCACTCCACTTCCTGTTAATTATCCAAATTACAGTTATTTAATTAATAACTGTTCAAAGAATTTAAATCTTTTGATTTAATTAAATCATTTACTTCCCTCCATTTCCTATCGGATTCAAACCCGACCCGTCATCCTTCCGAATCGGGTCTGGGGGGCAAGTTGTTTGGGTCCAATTTATCTAATTGGGCCTAGTCATGTATTTGGGTCCAATTATCTTATTGGGCCTGGTCACTAAATGACTTCATATTCCAAGGTCAAGGCCCGAGCCTCCAATCAAGCCAAGTCAACCAAGAGTCCTTTGGTCCGAATTGCCATGGTCAGCCCATGACTATTTAAAGGCCCAATTACTCTCCTCTCATCATGTGCAAAGGTATAAAAGCCTTCAATTCATTCATTCATACACACAACAAAGCCTCAAGCATTAAATTTCTTGCATAGCTTTTTCTCTCTAAACACTGTTTGACTTCGGCATCGGAGGGGTCTTCCTCGGATCCACCCCCGAGGCCAGTTTACGTGTTTTAGTTGTGCAGGAAACCTTCGGCCCAACATCAACTGGACCGGACCAATCTTCAGCCACTTCAGCAGGCCTTCGGCAAGGCCCCATTGTTTTCATCCGAAACAGACTTAACTATTGTTTAATCAACAAACATAATGTAAATAAAGCTGGGGAAAAATAGATACTTGCCTTACAATACGTAGTATTTCTTTTTTCTATAGAACATTATCCATAAAACAAAAATTGAGATTGATACCACTAACGTTTGATAGATCTGAACCCATAATGTGTTGGAGCTTTTTGTCTAGTTGCCCACACCTTTGCCACGTGATTTCATGTTTAATTCTTCATCAATGTGCATGCAGATCTTCCATCAGAATTGAAGTATATACTATGATAGTAAATTGATTAAACTTCCATTACACTCAAACTGTTTACTTCAATCTATTCACATCTCAGGAGAGGTTCAATCCCTACTACTCTGCTATTAATGGTTTGGGAGATGCCGAGATGGGATTCCCTTTCCTCCCCCATTCTCCCAAATTGTTTATTAGCCTGCTTTAGGTCTGGGTTGAATCGTGAGAGGTTCTTATCTGATAGTATTTTTCATCTTATAATACTTACCTACTAAAAAAATATTGTAATATATATATGTACATTACATACGTCGTCATACATCAATATAAACGAATTTGGCCATGTTGGCATCAACCATTATTTGCATACCTCTACGAATCAAAATTAGTCTTTTGGAATAATTTTTTTTAATACTAATTTCTCTCGACTAGACATCATCCCCACTAGAATTTCGGGCTAGATTTAGGGTAACAAGTTTATTCTTGGTGGTCCAACTCATTTTTGTGCATGTAAAGATTGTGGTGATTAAAATAGAAACTAAAAAGCTCGTTTTTAGGCTTACTAACCACTAAGAAATAGTTAAAGAGTGGTCTAAGCTTTTAGTAATACAAGGTAGTGCAACTTCGAAGTATACGAGGCAAGGTGAAAGGCCATGCTAGCTGGCTAGCTGCTGTATTCAAAAGCATGAACCTTACCAAACCATTCTCCACAACATAATGAGACTATGTGATCCATAGTTGCCAGTTGGTGACTGGAACAACAATCTCTTGTACTCTGTCTATGAATGTATGATACTCATACCATATAAATTCACTAGTCAGTTACGTCCAAATTCAACCTGACTCGCCAGTGTATTACTTATTAACACTCGCATTGATTAAATTTCATAACTAAGCACTAGACCTATCAATTCTTAACCCGACTTAGAGTCTGTTCTCATTGACTGAACTGAAATGAATATTTTATAAGAGAAGGAAATTAGGAGCTGAACTAAACTGAAAATAAACGTATGACAACATAGTTCTATTCTCTTCAGCTTAATTTCAGTTAAGTTCCTAATTTCCTTTCTCATAAACAATTCATTTTAGTTCAGTTCTGTAAATCAGATTAGGCCCTTAAATGCCTTAATAACCTGATTTGAACACAAACCCAAAGTATTGAGAGCAAATCGAACCTGACCTCAATCAGACCAAAATAATCTGAACTCGTTTAACTCATTTATCATATTTTAAAATAATACTCCGTATTAGAGATTTACACTGTTTAAGATTTACACAACCCAAATTTTAACTCGAATCAAATCCATTAACCCAAATTGACAGGTCTACAGAAGTACACTTAAAAAAAAAAAAAACCACGTAATTTTAAAAATGTTTTTGGTTCACCGGCTACGCGCACTTTAGCAAAACCCCATCTCTCTCTAATATCTAGGATTCTAGGGCACCATCTTTATCTCACCCGCCATTACTGTAATTCTTGAAGCTTTTCTCTTTCTTTCTTCCTCCATTAAAATGGTGAGGACTGTACGACCTCATCATCAGCCTCAGGAAGACGAAGAAGACGACGCTGAAGATGTTGCTGCTGGTACTGACACCTCTTCTCACCGAGGTCTTTTTCTTTCTTTCTCTCTCTTCTTTGAATTATCATCTTTAATTAGGGTTTCTTGAATTGTGATGTTTGTAATTTGATATGGATGGATTGAATTGCTGAAAATGTTGGTGAATTTCACCAATTCAGAGGGGAAAAGCGCGGAGCAGAAACCTAGTAATTATAGGTCGAAGCATTCGGAAACTGAGCAGCGTCGGAGGAGTAAAATTAATGAAAGGTAATTCAATTTTAGGGTTTGAATTTCGTTTTTTGGATTTAATCTTGATGCTTTATTCGATATAATTTCCCCCAATTTTGGATTTGCTTTTGTTATGCTTGTTGAATTGCTTTGGGATTTATGATATATGTGTTTGGGTATTCAGAATTTTGAGAAAATTATTACTGTTAACTGTTAAGTTTGTGTGTTTTGATTTTTTGTGAAAATGATAAAGATGTGGTTTTGTATTGGATTTTTTTTAATGATTGTGAAGAATGAATGTGTAGGCTAGTGAAAAATGTTGGTAAATTTCACCAATTCAGTTTCTCTCCGAGTCTATGTAAAGTCGTAAAAGGCTGGAATTGGGAGGTTATATGAAAACCTGAGTAGGATTTGGGAATTACTCTCCAATTTCTGTACTAGTTTAATGCTACTGCATCTTTTGAAGGAATTGTACTTAGTCTCGAGGTCATTCTGTGCGGGGAACTCTGTGAATAAGTTCCAATTAGAAACAAAACAGATGTTGGTGCGGAAGCTTAATATGTAGTAATGGATAAAGTTTCGTTACAAATCAAAGTTCACTTTTCCTAAACTGTTTTATCTTTTAAAATAACACTTATGCTGTTTCATTGCCTCTAAAAGTGAGCCATTATTGTTCCTATTTCAAATTTATGCCCTAGCAAGGGCTTCAGAGGTCTATTTTTAGCGGTATGCTGCAACAGTCGTTTATGACGGTTTATTGTTTTTGTAATATATGCAACTAAGGGGGTTGCTTAAAAGATACATGTTGAAGACCGCATGGTTGCTATCTTTTCTGTGCTCTACATCCTGGACCAAGATTCATTTCCTTCATTTCTCCCCCTCCTTTTAACACCCTTATCTGTCTCTCGCTCTTATTCTAAAAGTGGGAGAGTTCTGGAATGAATTGTGTTTTTGACACATAACATGTATCTACAGGTTCCAGATATTGAAAGATCTGATACCCCCAAATGAGCAAAAGAGGGATAAGGCCTCGCTGTTACTAGAGGTGAATAATTCATTTTGCATGTTTTTGCCCTTTTTAACTATATTACTTTATCTCTTTATTTCCATTTGGTTCCTTGAGAGGGACCTTCTCTCTGAATTGGAGGTGACAAATTGTACAAACTTTGAAGGTTATAGAGTACATCCGATACCTACAAGAGAAGTTGCAAGTTTATGAAGGACCATATCAACAACAAGCATGGCCTCATGAGGCCACCAAATTAATACCATGGGTAAGTTAGTGTTTGCACCTATTCTTGTGAGTTTAAAATCTAGCCTACACTTGATATTTTTGAGTGTGCTTAGATGTGTTCCTCTTATTATATGTGTACGGAAAAATAGCTTTTAAATTCTTTAGCTTTATACATAGAAGTTTCCTTGTTTTTTTTTTTTTTTTTTTGAGAACCTCTAGAAGTTTCCTTGTTAATTGGCCTTTTCATTTTTTTATAGTGGAATAATAGGGGTAGTGAGAATGTAAGAAATTCTTAATATGATGCTCTGATTTTAATTAATCCTATTATGATGCCCTTGAAGAATATGAGTAAAATTATTCTAGTATATTTTTCCATTGGTAGTGTTTGTCTAAGATTGTTTGCCTCTTAAAACTGGCCATTAATATTACTTGATGATATCTTTCGAATAGTGGTAAGAAATTTTCCTAGCCCTCGTGTGGTTTCCTAGGAAATTTGGGTTGTTAGGCCTATGTTATGATTTTGGCTAGTAATAAATTGCTTACAAGTTGCTATAATCCATGTTAAAACCATGTCAGTGGATAGAAAATTTGATGAATCGTGGAAGGTAGTGTCCTTAAGTCAAAAAATGGTTTATGAGGCTGTAGAAAACACTTAGGCTATGTTTGGATAACAAAAAAGGAAAGGAAAGGAAAGGAAAGGAAGGGAAGGGAAAGGGAAAGGGAAAGGGAGGGAGACAAACTTCCTTGTTTGGATAATATGTTGGGGGAGGGAAGGGGAGGGGGATGGAGGGATCCATTTTCCCTCTTCCTTTAACAAAGACCATCCCTTCAAAATTGGAGAGATTTGGAGGGAAAATTGAGCTCATCATTTCCTCCACTTTCCCTTCCTTCCCCTTCCTCCTATTTCCCTCCCTTCCATTTCCCTTCTAATTTGTTATCCAAATATAGCATTATTAAAATTTGGTTTTCCTTGATTAAGGCTATATTTTATGATTGACATCAATAGAATGGTCATGGTATTAAAGTCATTTAGAAGGCTTTCACCCACTTGCTTTTACGACACCTAATGATGATGGGAACGTCGGACTTGAGGTATGATGAATCTGTGCAAAGGATTTATGTAATTTGAGGAGAAAATGGGAATTTGTACTTTTTGAGAATATTACCTTCTTTTCGATGAGTTGTCATCTTTTTTCTTTTCCTTTTTGTACAATTTTACTAATGATGTCTTTTGACGTTAATTCTGAACACTTTCTCTCTCCCTCTCTTCAATAATTCTCAATTATTTTCTCTCTTTCTATCTCTCTTTAATCCCATATGCACATGTGTACTCTTAATCATCAATTTTAAGGAATCTACAACCTTCTTAATTCTCGTGAAAAAATCTAAATAGGCTTTCTATTATGTGCCGGAGTGAGTTATACATAGTAGAAGTTACAAATGAAGAAATTAAGCCACTAAGGCAAATTTACAAAGAGACATCTTCTTGCCTAAATGCATATGGAACTCTGTTTTAACCCAACTTTCAGCGAAGCTACCTATTAGAAGCTGAACTCTAATAAACTCCCAATGTTGGCTCTTGAATGTCATAATGGAAGGTTAAGCTCAAGTAAATCCTTAAAGAAAATGGGAGAATGTATATACCTACTAATCATAATGCATGGCCACACATAATAGCATAACTCACTTTCAAATGTGAGAATGCAGTTTCAAACTGACCTGGTTATTGCACCAGTGCTCATGGATTATAGTGCTGCTTTGATAATTTAACTTTAATGGCCCAACCTGTTTCATTATGTCAATTTCAAGTGACCTTTTTTTTTTTTGTAGAATTCTTAAGCTTTACTTTCATTTCCAAGTGGTTTCATCCTCAAATGACGGGTGATGGGTATATATCCTTATTCCAGGTTCGCAAACAGCCTCTTTTAATCTTCCCTGTGACCCTGTGCCTTTGTTCTTCATAAGTCAATCTTAAGCCTTAAAAGCAAGTGTGGCTCAATCAAAAACCCAAGCATCTATTTCAAATTGAACATAACAAAGCAGTGTGGACATACTCTCTAGAGGCATTGGAACCTGAAAATATACCTTGAGAGGCCGAGGATAGGAAATCAATACTTAAATTCCGTTTTGAGGCAAGATGCTCCTACATCAGGATTGTAGATAACAACAATTGTACCTTGGTTGTCTCTGGTAAAGGCTATATGTCATGGTTGAGTCTCTTTAAGCTTCTTATTTAAAATGGCCAAATGGGTGTGAAGTCTTTCAAGCAAGTAATTTTAGGGTCCCTTGAGACCCGTATTGGCATAAAAGCTGTATTATTGCTTTATCATGTTTTGTGGGTTTACCCCTATAGCTTCCTTTTACAATTTTGTTCATGTAGCCAAAGAAGTAAAGATCTTACAGATCGATTTGTTTGGGCCTGATGCTAATTCAATAATTTGGCCCTACCACTTTCTTTTATTAAACTGCCTTAGTAACTATTTTCATTTGTTGCAACCTTTGAACAGAGAGCTAATCATGGGCCTGTGGACAACTATGCTAATCATTCTCAAGTCATGAAAAATGGCTTTCTGGATGAAAATTCTTCAGTGCAACCCATGACAGCCATACAAGGCTCAGTGGAGCCGGAGTTCGGTGGAGAATTTTCCTTCAGAGCAGATCATCATCATGCTGGGTCAGTGAACCCCGTTGTTCCTATGAGCATTCCGTTGCAACCTTGTACATACCCTCCTGGAAGAGGTATCCTGCCTATTGAGAATGTTGCTTCTCATCCTCATGGATCATCTGCAGCTGACGGTTCTATCTTATTAAGTGAAGATGGCACATTTGAAAGGGGCTCAAGTAGTGTTTCTGATATTTATTCTCAAGGGTATATCTATGCAACCCTATTTACTTTTGCTTGGCTTAAATAAAAAAACACTCAATTTCCCCACCATGATGAACTAATTGGACAGTCGCTCGTTGGTTCAATTAGGTGGTAGATATGTGTAGTAGAATTTTCTTGTTTTGTGTGCATAAACAATGTTTAGACAGCTAGTGTTGTAAATTGTTCTTCCTTGATAGAATACATCTGATTTGCATGTAATAAATGGATTTATATGTTTGATAAAATTGAAAGTCCATGGTTTTATCTCCATGCATCTGATGGCCTTTGGCAGTGGTTTCAGCTGCATTAAATGTCATTGGATTCCTGCGTGAATTATTTGCCTTTTGCACTTAACTAAATTTTCTGGTGTTTGTGATATCAAAGACTCTTTCCACACCAACTGTAGAAAGAAAGAAAGAACATAAAGTATGAAGAATGCTTCCTGGGTCAAGATACTGACTTTGATTCTCTATTTCTGACTTTTGGTGTTGAGCAGACTGCTTAAGAGACTAACCCAGGAGCTACAGACATCTGGGGTGGATTTGTCACAGGCTAACATCTCAGTTCAACTTGATGTTGGGAAGGGAGGAAATAGCAGCTCAAATGCTATTGCCCCCACTATAGAGGTTGGTTCTGAGTTTCTTTTTCTTCTATTTGTTTTACTTTTTTTGAAACTTGGAGCTAACTGCTTGATAGATTGCTTCTGATCATGCTAAATCGACATCTACATGACTTTCTTGACTGTTGATAAGTGTACTTCTAGTCCGACATATGGACATGGTTAATTTGACTTCTTACTGGATTTTTGCTTCAAAATTTCTGAATTAGGCCTGTTTTGAACTTGAATTAAGGTAGCCAGAATTTGAGGATTTGGATGCATTAGTTTGATCTGATTTTCCATGACCTGACCTGAAGGTTGTTGACTTGTATTGTTTTTTATATACATAAACAAATTGGTTGTCAAAAGACATAAATATGAATATGACCTGAACTCGTTCTAAACCAAACTAAAATGAAGTAAATCTTCCATCTACTGAATATGATGCTAACCGAATTAAACCAAACCGAACATAGTCCGAGTGAATTAGATTGCCTTTTTTTTTTCAACTACATTGTCAGTAATTTCAAGTGTTAGCATACTAGTACGATTCTGCTATTCATGGGTTTACAATAACTTAATTCCTTGTCCTAACTTTCCATTTTCTGGCTTTTTAAGTTGTTTGGGCCCTAAAATTGTTATATACAAGGTGCAACCCAAAAGATATATTATGCTTATTTTGTTGATTAAAGGATGATTATTGCTCATTTATGTTGTCATCAAATGAGCAAATATTAACCTTGGGGGTATCTTGCTCTCGGCTAGTCGGGTGTATATAAGAAATTTCAGTTTGGGCCAGGTGTTGTTCCTGATATGCAGCACACATTCTAATTGATGGCTATAACACCCTCCCCCCCCCCCCCCCCCTCCCCTCTTTCCCTCCAAAAAAAAGAAAAAAAAAATCACTCAGTGTTTTCAGATTAAATATTGTTTTTTTGCTGTATTAAAAACTTCCAGTGTCTTTTCAGGATGTTGATAATCAGTCTCCAATAAATCAGCCCATATCACATGCTGTGGAGGTAAGTGCAAAGGAGTCTATCCAGGCTGCCAAGAGAATCAGGACTGGAGAAAGGTAGTAATAATCAGTCGTATAGGTTTTTTTAGTCTGTGATTGCAATTGGAGTTACGGCTCTTCTTTCAAATGGTAAGTGCAAATGAGTATTTAGGCTACCAAGAGAAAGCTCTACTTGTTTGATTAGTATAGGTTTTTTTACTCTTGTGACTTTATATGGGGTTTTGGCTCTTCTTTCAAATGTTAGTTTACCCTTTTTGGCCAAGGGAAAGAAGAACCAGGCTGAGTTAGAGAAGAGGTTTTCGGTGTCTATTTTAACCACATCAACCCCAACCACCAGATTGTAGATTCTGTTGTACATTTTTTTTTTTTTTTTTTTTGGGTAAGTGGGTTAACAAAAATAGATGCTAAATACTAGTATATTATGACTTGTAAATCTTTTTGCATTTCTAATGCGTCTCAGAAAAACATTGATTTCTCACTGCTGCTTTCTTATTCTAGCTTGGCATTTGCCAGCATTCCAGGTAAGTTGTAATGTTTAATATGAACTTCATGTTTGCGGAATGGATTTTCTGATAACATAAACTATATTATGATGCTTCTTTATTACGGAGTATCAAGTTTTAATCATTTTTTCTTCACCATATTCCGGTTATCAATATCATGGTACATGCTTTAGTCGTCTGACCTGTTGTGCTACTGCTACGCCCCCTTGTAGAGTTAGACGTTTATGTGAGGTGAATTTCATTTGAAAATGAACTCACAGGCGCCAATATGGCACAATTTCATCTAGACAACCTAGTTATCAGATCCATATTTGGTGGACATTAGTTAAATTGAGTCATACTTCGTATATAGTAACCTAGATTTTCTGCGCTGGATTTGAATTGTTTGTAACAAAAACAAAGTAACTTGTTTTCAACTCAAAACTGTTATTGACCCCATAAGAAGTGCCCCAACCTTTGGTAAAATTCACTAATATTGAGTAATCTTCATTATTATTATCTACAGTAATTGGTTTGAATTTCATGAGCAACATTAAAGTGACTTAAACACAATTCGAGCAATATGTCGTGTTTTGATGAATTGCATTAACCTAAAAATCATTAATATCGGTTTAGTTTTGATGATTTGCTTGTTAAATAAAATCGAATTTGAACTGAATATATTGTAAGGCAGTATGTAACCTAAATGAAATTATTAATGTACTTAATTAAATCCCAACTTGAACAACTTAATCAATTTTGAACTCCTAACTACTAGTAGCTAGGTGGCTTCTAAGAAACTGTTTTTATTTCCTTGGATCTGTAAATTTACCATATTTGTTGGTTTTTGGATCACTAAGCTTCTCTTGGAAATTGGATCATTTTACTCTTTTAAATTCTCTTTACTACGGAGTAAAAACATAATTTATCCCTAATTAGTAATTACGCCTTAATCTTGTTCCTTAATATCTCTCTCCTATCTGACTCGGTCAGGGTGTCCAAAAAACTCATAAATGACAGGTCAATGAAATTAAGATTATATTAGATTCTTAATTATGTACTATATAGTTTATATAAGTGGACTCACCATTAATCATGGGGTAACCCATTGTTTGAATATAAATAAGGGAAATTCTCAATGGTACTTTTAAGGTTTTATTTATTCTCAATGGTGAACACTAAAAATACAAATTATCAATGGTAATCTTTAATTATTAAAATAATACAGTGGTAACATTAGTTAAGCATTTTAAGAAATTATTAACCATGGTTAATGTTTTAAAAGGAATAATGCCTAAAATACCCCTATTGGAAAATATGCAGCACCCACTCACCCCCTCCTTCCCTGCCACCCCCTCCTCCTTGATCCCGGCCAGTGCCGCCCGTGACCACCCAGTTACCCTCCCTGGCGCCGGCGCTGGCTAAACTCGCTACCCCTTGCCGTCGAAACTCTTAAACCACCCAATCCCCCTTCTTCACCGGCGCCATATCCTAAACCCTTCTTCTACCTTCTCAACCGCACTTGCATTTCACCGAAAACCCAGCAAATCTAAGCCGAAACCACCCATATTCGAGCAAATCTGAGTCAAATCCACTTTCGAGCAAAAATCGACCCAAAACCCCCTTAATTACCCTAAATCAAGCAAATAATGACTAAAAATTCAAATCAGAAATATAATTTTGCCCCCCATAAACCCTTGAAATTTCAACAAAAAATTGAGGTAGGAGATCAGAGAGAATCGAGGAAGGGGGGAGGTGGGTTGCCATGTCGGGATTTCCGTCGGTGGTTGATGGGATTTGTTGGTGGTGTATTGGTGTAGTTTGATTTGGGTGAGTTGGGAATCAGGGAAGGAGAGTGGGAATACGGGGAAGGATTGGAGATGGTGGTTGGGCTGGGAATCGAAGGAAGGAGAGGCTCGCCACGCCGGCGCCAGGAAAAGGGGGGGAGAGGGTCGCCAGCGCCAGGGGAAGCAAGGGAGAGGGTTCTCCGCCCGCGGCCGCTTCTGGCAGAGGAAGGGGGGCTGGCAGTGGGTTGTGGTTGGGGTGGCTGGGGTTTTTTCAATTTTTTTTTAATTAATAAGGTTATATTAGTCATTATGTCTTTAGTTAACTAGGGTTAGGCTAATAATTATGAATTAATGTCATTAATGTTACCACTGAGTTATTTTTACTAATTAAAGATTACCATTGATAATTTGTTTTTTTAGTGTTTACCATTGAGAATAAATAAAACCTTAAGAGTACCATTGAGAATTTCCCTATAAATAATCATAGTTATATATTGTAAATTTATTTAACTATAAAAATGGGGTATATTTTAATTGAAGGCGAATATCCCACCACAATATATTGGCATTAACATCGTAATCAAAGTCACCCCCTTAACAACCATTGAAAATGATACGTCTGTGGTGTAGAGGTACTGTATTAATTATTATGTATGAATTATGATCATTAATTAATAAATTAAATTTTAAAAAAAAGTATTTTATAAAAGTAATAAAAAGTATATTTGGGTTTATGTTAGTTTGCCAAGTGGCTTTCTGAGTATAGTGGTAGCTGTAACACTTTTATTGGCAAAACACCAAAAAGTAGGAGAAAAGGAACGGTTTATTCATGTGTTTTTTACATGTTATCAACTTTGATCTTGTCTCCCTATAATACCCACCTTTTCTCTTCTAAGCCACGCTTATTAGATTTAATTTACAAGTAATTATGCTTCCATTTTCTTTCTGTTGCATGTAATCAATCTCCTTTAATTTAGAGACATAACAACGTTATTGTTAATTTGTCGTCTTTTCTTCTTGTTAGGGGTAAGACTGCATAATACGCGTTTCTCTCTAAGAATGAGTATTTTAGAGATAACAATGTTATACAACAGTCGATTTGTTATCTTCTCGGTTGTTAAGGGTAATACAATATAATACGCGTTTCTCTTTGAGAACGGATAGGGAGAAGGGTGGTCATCGGAAAATTCCGATATACTCCGTAAAGGTTAAATAGTTTGGAACTCTTGGAAGTGTAAGATAAAACAGAAAAAATTCTCACGTTGTATTGGAATTTGCTGGAAAAAGATTTTGTCGGTGAGGAAGATGAGGTGATTTATACAAAAGGTCCATATACTTTGATTGTGCAAAATATGCATTCACATTCAGATTTAATATGAAAAAGTTTGTTACAATTGGACCACTAATTAATGCCATTTTTCAGCTTGAAGTATAAAAGTGGACTTATAATACTACCAACGAAATTTATGTTTGTAACAACTTACTAGTATTAAACGTGGACGTCTAAGTGATAGCAACTCCTCTCTTTTCAAGAACGGACTTTTAAGTTTAGAATTAGTAGTCAAAATACGTGCATAATGATGTTTAAAAGTAAACGGGAAGAATGAGCTTAATTAATTATGTAAATTAATTTCGTGATAACGATAACAAGAAACTGGCGAAAATAGACTAATACAGACAAATATGTGTAAAATTATGAATTTGTGATCGGTATGGGCAAGCTTGAGTTTTGAATAATTTAGATTCGGGTGCTTGTCCTTCGAGTAGGGTGTAAAGAAAGAAATGCTTCAAAAACCATACAATTTAGTATCAATGAAATCGAAAAATTCGACAGGGGAAAAAGAAGAAAAGAATTCCAAAATTTTGAATGACCTGTATATGCAAGCTGTAGTCTACAACTGTGGCTCATTCATATCACAGGATAACCTATGAGAATGGCAAGCTAGCTTCTCTATACATGTAATAAACTTATTAGCTAGGGTGTAAACAAGACTAAAAAATATGTTCATGATGTGCTGAAGAAAGCCTAAGAAAGCATTAGTTTTCAATCTAAGGCTCGAAATCATCAGCCCTTGTGTATTATGATTATACCTGTGTATGTGGGAAGAGGCCACCAGTGTGTATGTGTGTGCGTGATGCAAACTGTACAAAAGTTGCATCTGGATGTGTATAGGAACATCCCATCAGCATGGAGGAGAGAAACTAGAGAATTCACGCGATTTGCAATGCTTCATCTGGCTGTTGTTCCAAGCATTCATAAGGATTGGTATAGAAATAGTCCTCTTCTTTGGGTTTATTAGGAATCACAGTTCGGGTATGGGGAGTTCCCATACGAGCAGCATGAGCTGCCTTCACAGAAGATGAGAACTCATCCCAACTCAATGACCCGTCGCTGTATTGATCAATCAAGTGAACCAAGAGCTTCCTATCCAGAGAAATTGTCTGCTTGAAATCCATATATCTGCAAGAAAAATTAAAAAAGATAGTGTAAGATTTTATAGTAAAAAAAAAATCCGAATACAAGGACAAAAATCATTAGCTTAGGTCATGCAATACAAAATCACAAGAAGGTCAAGTCTTCTAGCTAGAGCAGACGCAACCTAGAGATGCTTAGATGGTCCATCCCTTTCTAATTTTTGGGAACATGTTTACCATTCTGTTTTACATTGTAAATCAATCTTGTTTACGTCTTTATCCATGCAAAATTATATTATTATGCCACCAATACAAGTCAAACAAATTTCACAAGCAGCCAGATACAAACAAGAAAACAAGTGATTAGGAGACGGCGTGCAAAATTTTGGCATCTAAATAGTGTGGCACAATACCTTCGGTGGCCCTCGACAACTCTAGCCATATTTCCATCATAAGTAGGAACAAATATATCACTCTCCAAAGAGACCAAATAGTCTAATGCAGCCATTTGAGAAGAGTGATTTTGGAAAAATCTCAAGTCTGACGGTTCAAGTAGGGTCTCCTTTCTCACCTGTTTCATAAAATTAGTCAAAAATTCCCTCCATAGAATGCAAAATGATACAAGTAAACAATCAGTCCATGCTTATATTAGTACTAACCAAATTTGGGTAAGATGCAGCTAAGCTGGCCATTCTCCTTTTCCCTCCGTAAATTTCTCCAGAAGCAATATAAATTTGGATATTGCGATCAATTCCCAGTGCACTCAGGGTTAAGGCAGTTTCCTCGGGGGTCAATGGGCAGAGACCATCTCGCCGTTTAACATCCGAGTCTATGACTTTTTCCTTCCACCAAGGGTAGGAATACCTGTAAATTATTAAGCAATTCCAACGTCAGGACATTTTTTACTCTACACTCAATATTTTAACTACAAGTTGAACCCAAACAAATTAAGTCTTC